CTCGGGGGCCTCTTTGGCCGTCTTAGGGCGTTCCTGGCCCGTCTGACGCCGTCGGGAGCCTTCTTGGGGGCTTCTCTGCACCAGCTTGGGGCTCTCTTGGGGCGCTTCGGGGTCGTTTGGAGGCCATCTTGGGCGTCTTGGAGGCCTCTTGGTCCGTCTTGGGGCCCTCTTGGGGCCGTCTTGGGGGCCTCTTGGGCCGGCTTGGGGCCGTCTTGGAGGCCTCGTGGTTGATCTTGGGGCGATCTTGGCGGCCTCTTGGGCCGTCTTGAGCCGTCGGAATGCCGAAAAGAGGCAACTGCCCAAATCCTTCAAAAACCAAAGGACAATCTATGATTTTGGCCTCTTCAGGCCCTCCTGGAGCACCTCCTGGAGGCCTCTTGGGCCGTATTGAGGCCTCTTGGGCCGTCTTGGGCCATTTTGAGGCTATCTTACGCCATCTTGGGTACATCTTGGGCCGTCTTGGAGGCCATCTTGGGCGTCTTAAAGGCCTCCTGGGCCGTCTTGGGGTCCTCTTGGGGTCGTCTTGGGGGCCTCTTGGGCCGTTCTGGAACCATTTTGGAGACCTCTTGGGCGACCTTTGGGCGATCTTTGGGGGCTCTTGGGCCGTCTCGGTGCGTCGGAAGGCCGAAAAGAAGCAAGAAGCAAATGTCAAAATCCTTCAAAAACCTTTGGACAAATCACTGTTTTTGGCCTTTTCTGGCTTTCCTGGAGGCCCTCTTGGAGGCCTCTTGGGCCGTCTTAGGCCAGCTTCGAGCCAACTTCGGCCATCTTGGTGGGTTCCTGGCACGTCTGACGCCGTCGGAAGCCGTCTTGGGGGCCTCTCTGAACCGACTTGGGGTCCTCTTGGGGCGCTTCTGAGCCGTCTTGGACATCTTGGGCGTCTTGGATGTCTCTTGGGCCGTCTTGGGGCCCTCTGGGGGCCGTCTGGAGGCCTCTTGGGCCGTCATGGGGCCCTCTTGGAGGCCTCGGTGGCGATGGTGGAGGAATGCGACGACCTAGATCCCCGGTGCGGGCTCACTGGGGCTTCCCCGATCGCGAAGCGCGATGCGACAGTGGCTGCTTGCGCGGTTGGATTTGGCAACTTCGGCGCCCCCTTTCATCCTCGCACTAGAAGGTCCCTCTTGCCCAGTGCCACTCTTGCGTGTAGCCGAGGTGTCCCAGCCGATCGCCCTGCAGCCCGCCCAGACGGGATCTGTGGCCCACTCAGACCTTCCAGGGCGCTGAGATATAGCTTTCCAGATCCTGCTTGGGCCGCGTGGAGCCTCGACTGGAACTTTCGACTCAGAGGCCCAGGCTCGATCTCCTGGCCCTCTTGGAAAGTCTACGTCGCCCGAGGGGGCGCGAAGGTGAACGTGCTTCGCGCAACGCGGCGGAACGGCGCGAACAGGACCGCGCGTCGGGCGCCGCGGGTCGCGATGCGCGAAGATAGGTAACGTCGCGTCGTCGTCGTCGTCGTCGTCGTCTTCGTCGTCGTCGTCGTCGTCGTCGTCGTCGTTGTCGTCGTCGTCGTCGTCGGCGTCACGTCGTCGTCGTCGTCGTCGTCGTCGTCGTCGTCGTCGTTGTCAGGGCACGGCCTCCCCCCGAGAGTGCGGTGCCGCGGGCAGGACATCGAGGGCCGCGTCGTGCACGTGCACGACGCGTGGGGCAGGACCATCAGTTGCGGCGTGGCGCCGCTTCGCTCCGCCGCTCCATCGCTCCGCCGCCGCGCCCTCGTCCTCGCTCTTGCCGTCCCTGGTCGCGTCGCCCTCGGTCTCGTCGCCCTCGGTCTCGTCGCCCTCGGCCTCGTCCTCTTTAGTGTCGGTCGTCGTCGTCGTCGTCGTCGTCGTCGTCGTCGTCGTCGTCGTCGTCGTCGTCGTCGTCGTCGTCGTCGTCGTCGTCGTCGTCATCGGCGTCGTCGTCCTGTCGGGGGGGCAGCGAAGCACGCCATCTCCCACAGCCCGCGTCTGCGGAGCAGTGCCGGGCGTCGTGCGGAGCTCCGCAGCCCTGCCCCGGTTTCGCTTCCTTGCTTGGGTGCTCTCGCTGTACGGCTGTACGGCTGGGCATACAAAACGCCCCTACCCTGGTTTACGAGGCGTTGTGCGCTGAAACTCCTGTGGGTTGACAGGGTAATCCCTGCGTGAGGTGCCGCGTCCTGGCGGCTCTAGGCTTTGCGGGTTCCCAGGAGGTTTACAGACCACGCACTTGTAACCCAGGGTAGGGTCGTTTTTTTATCCCTCAATATTGTGGGTGTGCTTCTTCTGCCTTGCAGTCTCGCCCGTCGTGGTCGGCGTCGTCGTCGTCGTCGGCGTCGGCGTCGGCGTCGGCGTCGGCGTCGGCCTGGGCAGGCGTCGGCGTCGGCGTCGTGGCTGTGGTTGTTGTTGTTGTCGCTGCTGCTGCTGCTGCGGTTGTTGTTGTTGTTGTTGTTGAACATTATTAATTCTAAAGAATAATTATTGTTGGGACCCCTGGTGCACGGCCCCCCCGCCGCGCCTAGGCCGCAGCTACATTTTCATCATTTTTTCGCGAAAGCTTCAGAAAAGTGGATGGGGTCCAGATCCGGTTGTTTTGTTGTAATCCGTTTTCCCTTGCAAAAAACACTATAAAATGACATTTCTTGTTCTAATATAATCAAATTTCAAGAATCCCTTGCAAAAAATAAGGTAAAGTGGACATTCGCGCGCGCAAGACGAAATCCTTCCAAAAGCTTAGTGTTCGGAGCGATTTTAACATAAAAACATCAAAAAACCAATGGTTTTTCAACAAAAAAATGTCAAAATCTCATCCCGCGCGCTCTTGCGGATTCGTAGGAAACCCAACACTTTTTAAACATTTCTGTCAAACGGGCTTTTGCGAGCAACTTTTTCGAACTTCTGCGACAACGGTTGCGCACCTGCCAGGGCCATCATCCCTGTCAAATAATACCATGCGGGACACATTCGTTTTTTCTTCGCGCGCGCACGCCGAAATCTCCAAAAACCATTGGGCTTCTTAAGAATTTTAGCACCGCGCATCATAAAATCACACGAATCGCACCGTAGGTCCTCGAAAAACACCTGCACGACTTTTCAAAATTTCTACCCGCGCGCGCTGTCCTAACAACTTCTGTGGGTGTGTACTCCACGCCAGTGTAGTAGCCACGGTCGTCCGCAGGCCACGAAGTGAAGTGTCCGAACGTCATAGGGCGGGAAGCTGGGTGTGGGTGGTGGCGAAGAGTCGTGTGGATATTTGGTAGAGCTTGCACTGCCCCCCCACAAAGTGGGGGTATTGGCTGGCGTCGCATGAAAACCCTGGCACTGGTGAGAACACTGAGCGTTCGGGTAAAGTGATTGTTGTTGTTGTTGTTGTTGTTGTTGTTGTTGTTGTTGTTGCTGTTGTTGTTGTTGCTGTTGTTATTGTTGTTGTTGCTGCTGTCGTCGTTGTTGATATTGTAGTTGTTGTTGTTATTGTTGTTGTTGTTGCTGTTGTTGCTGAACTCTCTCTTCTGATTGCTGTTGATCCCCCATCACATCACGGGTGCATGCTGGCTGTTTTTTCTCCGTCAAAGTGTGCCTTTCGACGCTCGCACCTTGTTTTTTGGCAGGGAAAATCTTGGTGGTCAAACTGTGCCCCTGGCTCTCCAGACCACAAAAACAACGGCTCCCGCCTGAGACTCCCTCTAAATTTACTCAGGAGGACCCCCCCCTCCCGTCTGAGACTTCCTCCCAATTTGTTCAGGAACGGCGCTCCCGCTTGAGACTTCCTCACAATTTAGTCCGGGTCAAACTGCGTTGTTGCTCCCCCGGACTACAACAACGGCTCCCGCCTAAGACTTCCTCACAATTTATTGAAGAATCGCGCTCTCGTTTGGACTTCCTGGCAGTGTACCACCGAACCGCGACTCCCGCTTGAAACTTTCTGACAATGTATTATAGAATCTCGTTCTTGCTTGGGACTTCCTCGCAACTTACCACCGAACCGCTTCGCTTGATATTTCCCCACAATTTATCCAAATTCTGGTCCTCGACACTCAGGAATCGCGCCCCCGCTGCATACTGCCTCGTGGTTCAAGCAGGACTCACGCTTCAACGACCCGCACGCTTGACCCGCCCGTCGGGGCCTGCCCACCCGACCAATCCGTTAATGACTGCAGTCGCCGCGCGCTGCCCTTCGCCCGCCTTCGATGCCCCTCGCTGCCCGTACTGGTTACGCGGTCGCCTTCGCTCGCTGCCCTTCGTGGCCCCGTTGCTGCTTTCAGTGGCCCCGTCGCTGCCCTTTGTGGCCCCGCATTATATGCCCTTCGTGGCCCCCGCTCGCACGCGCCCGTCGTGGCCCCAAACGCATGCCCTTCGTAGCCCCGCTGTCGCCCTTCGTAGCCCCCTCGCTGCCCTTCGTGGCCCCTTTGCTGCCCTCAGTGGCCCCGCTGTCGCCCTTTGTGGCCCCGTATACGAATGCCCTTCGTGGACCCCGCTCGCTCCCGTCGTGGCCCCATATGCATGCCCTTCGTGGCCCCGCTGTCGCCCTTTGTGGCCCCCTCGCTGCCCTTCGTGGTCAGCGGCCCCGTCGCTGGCCTTTGTGGCCTCGGATTTTATGCCCTTCGTGGCCCACGCTGGCTTTTCTCACGATTTACTTGGGAATCGCGTGATCGCTCGAGACTTCCTCGCGATTCATGCAGTACCCACGCTTCAGCAACCCGCCTGCTCGACCTCGTCGCTTGGGCCCGCCTTCCCGACCTGCCCGCTATGGGTCTGCCCACCCGATCTGCCCGTTTGGTCCTACCGCTTGTTTTCTGCTCCTTGCCCCCTCCTTGCTAATTTGTCTCGTGCTCCACTCTTCTCACTCCCCCTTTCACCCGTCCGCTCTTCCCTTGCTCACGGGGCTGCATTAAATACACGTGGCAGATAAGGAACATATGCCCCCACGGGGGTACGATCGAAGACGACGAGTGCGGGTACCAATGGTTTGGGATATACGTATTGATTGGCACGTGAGCAGATCGGACCGAACAGTCTTAAAATGATTGTTGTTGTCATCGTCGTCGTCGTTGGTGTTGTCGTTGTTGATGTGGTAGTTGTTATCATTTTTGTAGTTGTTGGTGGTGGTGCTGCTGCTATTGTTGTTGATGATATTGTTGTTGCTGTTGTTGTTGTTGTCGTTGTTGTTGTCGTTGTCGTGGTCCTCGTCGTCGTCGTTGTTGTTGGTGTTGGTGTTGGTGGTGATGGTGTTGTTATGGTTGTTGTTGTTGTTGTTGTTGTTGTTGTTGTTGATGTTGTTGAACTCTCATTTCTGATGACTAACTATTGTTGATCCCCCCCGTCCAGTGCACATTTTTTTTTGTCGATTGAAGTGCCCTTCCCGGGGCTCGCACCCTGTTTTTTATCAGGGTAAGTCTTGAGGGTCAATTTGTGTCGTTGGCCCCCGGTTTACAACAACAACAACAACGGCTCCCGTCTGATATTTCCTTACAATTTATTGAAGAATCGCGCTCTCGCTTGGGACTTCCTTGCAATTTGCCACCGGATCGCGGCTCCCGCTGGATACTTCCTCGCAATGTATTGAAGAATCGCGCTCTCGCTTGAGACTTCCTCGCATCTTACCGCCGAATCGCGGCTCCCGCCTGATACTTCCTAACAATTTATTCAGATGCCGCTCCTCGACACTCAGGAATCGCGCTCCCGCTACATACTGCCTCGTGGTTCAAGCAGGACTCACGCTTCAACGACCCGCACGCTCGACCCGCCCGTCGGGGCCTGCCCGCCCGATGGTGGTGCTGCACCCGCCCGTCGGTGGCCTGCCCGCCCGTCGCGAGCTCGTGTTCGGTGGTGCTGCAGGCGCAAGGGGTATGATCAAACGATTGGAAGAATTGATCACCCTGAACACTGCCGGTGGTTCCTCACGGGCCCTCGGAGCAGGTTGCGTCGCCTGCCCCAACTCCAGTGGTGGCTTTACCAAACCGGGGGGCTTCGCAGGTGCGCTCTGGTTATCCACGAGCGCCTAACGCAGGGGTCGGGTGGCTCACACCCCTGGGCCGTGGTTAGCGTCCGCTCAAGGAAAAGGGGGCAAGCGCCCGGCTTAGCTGCGGTTGCCGGCGGTGTCACGAAAGAGGGGGCAGTTGTTTTCTCCTTTTTTGGAGGCCAGAACAGCATGTTCTCAGAGCCTAGCTTGACATCTTCTGGCAATTGTGGTGTGTACGAAGGAGTCCCAGAATACGACCAGACACAGTGCATCCTTGCATTCAAGAGGTACGCGTGGTGTTTTCGCACAGTCGGAAACAGAGGTGTCGTTCGTGACATCGTCGGCCTGCCCCGTGTGGTTGGTTGTGGCAGGTCCTGAAGAGGATAGCCAACCACACGCCGAAACGCTGGAGACGGACTGGACCAGGGGTGCCCGAAAGAGTGGGCATACTCAGTCCTAGACCAGAAAGGAGGCCAAAGGAAGTTGCGCGTTCAACTGCTTCTCGGCGACCCTGGCGCGGCACAGCCGTTGCCAGGCGAGCCTGAAGCGGGTGTACAAAGAATGCCTTGTATGTTGAACTTATATGGATATGCTGGGCAAAAGACGGGTTATCAGGCGAAGGTCTCTCCAGGAGATCGTCTTCGGTGGTGCTGCAGGCGCAATGGGTATGATCAAACGATTGGAAGAATTGATCACCCTGAACACTGCCGGTGGTTCCTCACGGGCCCTCGGAGCAGGTTGCGTCGCCTGCCCCAACTCTAGTGGTGGCTTTACCAAACCAGGGGGCTCCGCAGGTGCGCTCTGGTTATCCACGAGCGCCTAACGCAGGGGTCGGGTGGCTCACACCCCTGGGCCGTGGTTCGTGTCCGCTCAAGGAAAAGGGGGCAATCGTCCGGCTTAGCTGCGGTTGCTGGCGGTGTCACGAAAGAGGGGGCAGTTGTTTCCTCGTTTTGTTTTGAAGGCCAAAACAGCATGTTCTCAGAGCCTAACTTGACATCTTCTGGCAATATTGGTGTGTACGAAGGAGTCCCAGAATACGACCAGACACAGTGCATCTTTGCATTCAGGAGGTACGCGTGGTGATTTCGCACAGTCGGAAACAGAGGTGTCGTTCGTGACATCGTCGGCCTGCCCCGTGTGGTTGGTTGTGGCAGGTCCTGAAGAGGATAGCCAACCACACGCCGAAACGCTGGAGACGGACTGGACCAGGGGTGCCCGAAAGAGTGGGCATACTCAGTCCTAGACCAGAAAAAACAGACCAAAGGAAGTTGAACAGTCAACTGCTTCTCGGTGACCCTGGCGCGGCACAGCCGTTGCCAGGCGAGCCTGAGGCGGGTGTACAAAAATGCGTTGTATGTTACACTAATATGGATATGCTTGGCAAAAGACTCCAACCGCAGGACACATAAGTACTGAGCTAGAGGACACCCGCCACTGGGCACCGAGTTGGAATGGGAGACTGCGGCGAACGGAGAACCACAGGGCCCCCCCCGTAGGGCAGCGAGCCAGGGAGCCAAAGGATACCGCGGGTTGGGCATCGAAGGGGAACGAGCGACTGCGGCACACGGGACCAGATGCCACCAACCACAAGACACCAAGGCAGGAAACCAGAGGTCACCCGCCGCACCGTGCAAGAAAGGGCGGCTGCCCACTTTCTTGAGGGCACCGAGGCAGGGAGTCATGTGGTGACACACGAAAGACCAGTATACTTGCGCACCAGGTGTGATGAGCATACGAGAAGTTGTAAACAAATGTGGTTCTGCTCGGCGCTCGCGCTGCCCGCAGTTATTGCAGGAGCGGGTCAGAGCTTTCGTTCTCGTTTGTCATTCGTTTGGCAGCCGATTTATCTGGGCTCAAGCGTTCTTTGGGCAATCGCTCTGTGACCCGTAGAAATTATGTATGTAAGACTGCATAATCCTTCGAATGTTAATATGCGTTGCGTATCACTCAGGTGGAATCCATTGCGCTACATTTGACTGTTCTGCGGTGCGTTGCGTTGGACTGCATCATTGACTTTACGAGCGCACACGCAAGACGCAGTACGCGCGTGCACAATGCACACCGAGGCCCGCCCGCATGTGCAGGAGCATGCATGGGCTCCAGCCTCCTCTTCCCCCCCACCCGCGGCCGCCCTGTCACTCCTGCGAGCTGGCCAAGTCGCTTCTCGGTGCCCCCGTTTAACTCTAGCGATGGTGCAGTCAACTCTGCCTCGTCGCCGACGGAAAAGTGCATCGGCGCATCGTTGCAAGTGTGTGCGCTTGCGGTTGCGAAGTGGGTGTGTTAGCACGCCGGGCCGGGCTCCCTCCGCAGCGCATTGCCCGCGCCGGGCCGCGCTCACCGTGCACACGCCGCGTGCCGCAGGCCGCACTGCCGCACGCCCGCACGCGACGCGCGCTCCCCGCTGCGGCTGGCCTGGCCATCGAGGGCACCCCGTGCAGGGCCCGCGTTGTCCGGTTCGATGTCGATTCCGGCCGGCCCGGTCCGATCCGATGCCGCTATTCTGGCGAGCCACCGCGGCCCGACGCCTGTCGGCGGAGGCTGAGTCCACGCGGAGCAAGTCCACGCGGAGCGCTCGGTCTCCGTCTGGGCTCACTCCGTCTGGGCCAGGCCTCCCTTCTCACGGGAGGACGGAGTAAGTCCACACGGAGTGCTCGGTCTCCGTCTGGGCTGACTCCGTCTGGGCCTGGCCTCTCCTGACAGGAGGCTACGCCCCTTTTGAGGAAGTCCATGCGGAGTGATCGGTCTCCGTCGGGGCTTGCTCCGTCGGGACCTGGCCACTCCTGCTAGGAGGCTGCAAATCCATCCGGAGGAAGTCCAAGCGGAGTGCTCGGTCTCCGTCGGGGCTTCCTCCGTCAGGGCCTGGCCTTTCTCCTGATGGGAGGTCAAGTCCCTACGGAGTGAGTCTATACGGAGTGCTCGGGCTCCGTCTGGACTTACTCCGTTTAGACTTAGAGCTTCTCCCGATACATATTTGTGTATATGTGTGCATGTTTGTATATTTGTATGTATATATGTGTATATCTGTACGTGTACATGTGTGTATTTAGACCCATATATATATATATATATATATATGTATTTATTTATATATATACATACTGGCAATCCGATGCGGCCCGATGCGCCTGCAGGAACGCTGTGTTGCGCATATCCTGGCGCGGCGGGCCTCGTGCCGACGCGGCCTCATCCGGCGCACGCTCTGGCCCGGTGCAGCTTCCCGATCCGATTCCGAGGCGGGACTCTGCACACGACCACCGCCTGGAGGATTAATTTTCGGGGACCTCGGCAGGAGGTGGATCTGGACATATTCGGGCACCCAGGGGGCCAACATCTGTCCATATCCACCGCCCGCTGGGGCACCAGGACGTCGGTTCCCAGGCGGTGGATATGGATAAATCCCCGCCCCAATCTCAGGCCGCCCGATCCTGTGGTTTGCCTGCGTGCCCAGGTCTCCCGAGAGGGGGCGCGCAGAGAATCGCTCTTCGAGCGTCGCGGCCTACAGTCGGGGCGCTGAAGAAGAAACCCTTTTCGTTGGGGAGGGGCTCCGTGTTCCTTGATAGTTGTACAGTTTTTCTTTGGTTTTCCTTTCGTTTTCCATGGGGAATCAAAACTCAACTCATGGGAACAAGGGGCCTCGTTCCTTATTTAGGGTTCCTTAGGTCGACGCCTCGACTGTAGGCTGGAGAGCGGCCCGTCTCCCCGGCCCGGCCCCGCGAGGGCGCGGAGAAGCACCGCGCGCCGGGCGTCGCGCGAAGCCGGGCGCGCGCGAAGTCGGGCGACGCAGTTCCCGATCCGACGCGCCCTCCGGACCCGAGGCGGACGGATCCTGCCGTGCGCCAGCCACCTGATCGGTTTGGGTTTTTCCTCGGGTTGGGTTCTTCCTCGGTTTGGGCTTTTCCTCGGTTTGGGTTTTTTCCTCGGTTTGGGGTTTTCCTCGGTTTGGGTTTTTCCTCGGTTAGGGGGGGGGGTCTCGCCACGGGGGCGGGGCTGGGGCAGGGACAAGTCACGACGGAGGTCCCCCGAGCGCTCTCAGAGCCCCCCGATTTTGAGCAGGTCCTGGCCTCGTCTTGCCGTCTCGCGCGCGGCAGGTGCAGAAGTCGAAGCAGCCGTCCCAGAGGAGCAGCGGGCGGCTCGGGCGGGCCGGCCTGGCCGCGGCTGCTGGACACGGTTCTCTGCGCTTCCGCGGTGCAGCTTGTATAGACTGGGCGCTCGGTGCAGACAATGTGCTGAAAGAAGACCACTTTGGGTTCAGGGGGGCTCTGATTTTCGGGTCGTTCCTTAGATCTAGGTCGGAGAGCCTATTCTAGACGCTTCGCGTAACCCCACAAGCCCATCCAGAAACGATGCCCAGGCGAGATGCATTGATCAGGGGTGTGAAGGAGCATGCCACGGAATCAGGGCCCGGGGAAGCTGTCATACCCCAAGAGGGGGCGGATGGAGGAGGACTCGGAGGAGGAATCGGAGGAGGAACCAGATGAGGAGGAGGAGGAGGCGGATGATGATGATGATGATGATGATGATGATGATGATGATGATGATGATGATGATGATGATGATGATGATGATGATGATGATGATGATGATGATGATGATGATGATGACGACGACGACGACGACGACGACGGACGACGATGATGATGATGATGATGATGATGATGATATGGTGATGATGATGATGAGATGATGATGATGATGATGATGATGATGATGATGATGATGATGATGATGATGATGATGATGATGATGCTGCTGAGGATGATGATGATGATGATGATGATGTGATGATGATGATGATGATGATGATGTGATGATGAGGATGAGGATGAGGATGAGATGAGGATGAGGATGAGGATGAGGATGAGGATGAGGATGATGATGAGGAGGATGATGATGCTGCTGATGATGCTGACGATGATGATGACGATGATGATGATGATGATGATGATGATGATGATGGTGATGATGGTGATGATGCTGCTGCTGATGATGATGATGCTGACGATGATGATGGCGATGATGACGATGATGATGATGCTGACGATGACGATTATTATGATGATTATGTTGATGCTTGGGACGATGATGATGATGATGATGCTGAGGATGATGCTGCTGATGATGATGCTGATGCTGCTGAGGATGATGATGCTGATTATGATGGTGGTCGTGGTGGTGATGGTGATGATGATGATGATGACGATGATGATGATGATGATGCTGATGATGATGATGATGATGATGATGATGCTGATGATGATGATGATGTCGATGCTACTGCTCATGATGATGATGACGATGATGATGATGATGATGATGATGATGATGATGATGATGATGATGATGATGATCTTGATGATGATGATGCTGATGATGATGAGGATGAGGATGAAGATGAGGATGAGAATGATGATGGTGCTGCTGCTGATGATGATGCTGCCGACGATGACGATGATGATGATGATGATGATGATGATGATGATGATGATGATGATGATGATGATGATGATGATGATGATGATGATGATGATGGTGGTGGTCATGATTCTTGGGGTCCTCTTGGTGATCTCGGGGGCCTCTCGGAGCATCTTTGGTGCCTTGGGGGAGCCCTTTGGGGCCTCTCGGGGGTTTGTTGGGACCTCTTGGGGGCCTCTTGGGATCCTGGGCGCCTCTTGGAGCCCTCTTGGGCCCCTCTTGGGATCCTTGTGGGCTATCTTGGGGCCATCTAGGAGGAGTTCGATCAAAGAAGGGGGGTACAATATCAGGGCCCTCCTAGGAGACCAGTGACCTAAGTAAAATCCCGGATTCTTGTACTTTCGCCGAGGCCTTCTTGGACGCCCCGAGCGGTCGCGGACCACCCTGTTTAGGTCCAGGGGAGGGGGTAGGGTGAGGGAAGACCTTTCCCGAAGGGGAAGGAGGGGGGTTGGAAGCGGAAACGCCAAAACCACTCACGCCCTAAAGGGCTGGTGGGATTTGTGGCCGAGGCTAGCCGTTGCAGAAAAGTCACTTTGCGACCGTGGCGTCGACCCTTAAGGGAGAGCCCGAGGCGTGTGAGTGGCAAGGAACCGAAGAGGAGGAAAGCTTCTCCCAGGGAGGGGTGCTCCTCCACGGGGGGGCGGAGTCACAACCCCCGGGCCCCCCCTCAGTACCCCCCCAGGACACCCCTGGGACCCCCCCTGCCGCCCCTGGGACCCCACCCCTCCCCAGCGGGGAAGGGATCAAAGGGAAGAGGCTCCTTTTCGGATCGATTACGACGTTGCTCGATTTCTCTTTGGCTGTTACGTTTGACGAGGAGGGCCCACGGACAGGAACAGAGGGGAGCGGTGACGGTGATAAGGACGACGACGACGACGACGACGAGGACGGCTCAAATGAAAAAGCTTCTCACACACGCCGACAGGGCTGGCCGTTGCAGAAGAGCCACCTTGTTCTGAATTCGGCGTTGCCTGTGGCAATACGATGGCTGCACAGTGAGAATGCAGTGCTTCATCAATCGGGCGCTCGGCAGGGGGGTCATAATTAAACGGGGGGATCGAGGGTTACAATGAAGTTGCCCTAGAGAGGCCCTAAACGGCCCTTCATTACACTACCAC